AAATCGAAAAAACAGAATGAGGAAAAGGAAAACGAAAGGCGAAATTAGGGTTAGGGTTTTGATTCTGGGGGTTTACCTAGAAACGAAAAATCGGCGAATCTGAGAAGAATCCGTTTCTTCAGAAGGATCAGTTCGATTTTCATGGCATGCGTTAGAGAAAAGAGGGCGGGAATAAGTTGCCACGCGGCACGGGATAATTGGATAAATAATCGACGACGACCTGACTCATCTTCCGGACCATTAAGACGCAGCGTTTAAGTGTTAAGTTTCGTTTGCAAACACTTTTTGCTTGCTAGCTTCTTAGTTTTCGATTTTTATATTTTTATTATTTTAAAAATATGTAAAATATTAATTAAATAAATATTAAATATAATTTATATATTTTTAAGATATTAAAAAGTTAAACAAATTACCGTTGTTACAGCTTAAGACTCTCAAAGCAAGCCTAATTAATTAGAAGAATAGCTGTGAATTTCAATTTGGTCCTCACTTTTCTATTCAGCTAATTTGGTTCTAAAATTTTCAATTGAGTATATTCCATTTACAGACTTTCCCTATTAAAAGATTGGATTAAAAATAAATTCATATAGCTATGGCCTCGCACAGTGGCAAAACCAGAATTCTATGTAGAGTAGGGCCTTATGAATTGGACTAAAATTGTCAATTTTCTAGTAGTGACCTCATTGTGCTTATTTGGAAAAAAGAATATTTCAAATTAACAATAAAAAATAAATAAAAATAACTAGTAAATGATGATAATTATTAGTATGTTTTTTCACTCATTTACTAGTCTCCAAAGTAATTGTCTAGAGTTGTCATGCCTATGGTATTTTTATCATTGTTAGTAATTTTTCAAAAAACAGATAAGTTGAAGAAATTAATGAATTGTCCAATAATTACGTGTTAGACAATGATCTATTTTGAAGGATTTTAGAAAAGTTCACGAACTCATTTTTAAGGTATAATTGTTTGTACTGTGAATTTATTATTTTATAATTATTTTTTATTTATGCTTAAGAATTTGAACAAATTAAAGAGCATTATTTCTCAAATAATACACAAACCTATTTTTTCTTAAGTCCTAAATTATGTCTATTTTATTAAGATTAATTGCGTTAATGTAATTTGATTTCTTGGTGGTTGCTGCATGTGCACCAATTTGGATATTTTTGCATTTGTCAGCAAATTCTACAAGGTCTGGTACTAACAGTATGCTGGAATAGGAAAATGAAGATGGACATAAGGGAAACAGAGAATGTGTATTTTAAGATTTTAATTTTTTTAATATTCTAAAATTATTAATTACACTACATAAAGCACCAATTAATGAAGCTTTCTTTTGTAAATAATTTTCACATCATGAAATATTGAAATCCACTAATGGGCCAAAAAATGTCAGAATTGAAATCCTTAGTTAAAAGTAATTAACGTTTGTTCCTTAAAGTATTAAATTGATGAAACTTAGTTGTCTTATTTAACTATTTATGTCAATTACCAAGGCAGGGCCGCAGGGGCTTCTCTCTGTTAACTTACTTTTTCTTAATATTTTTCTTAGTAGTTCCGCCACTGGCCTCGCATCTTTTCTGCTGTTGAGGTATTCATCTGGGCACCAAAATAGCCTTAATGTTTCAATAAAGCATTGAGTTACTTAGACAAGTTGAGATTTTAAAAGTTTTGAATACCTTATCCTACAATGCAATCGGCTTAAAACTGTTTTAAAGGACTAAATAAATTTCATTAGAAAGGTTAATAATGTTTGGAGGTCTTGCTAAGGATAACACAATGACTATACAGTTTTTAGTTGGTTGAAAGACAAGGTCCATCTCCTCCTTAGCCAGATGCCTATGAACTTATGAACCTTTCAGAGGTAGATGCTGGCTCTGCATCACTAGCCAGAGCTCTCTTCGCAAATGTCTGTCTGTGTCTCTGCTTTTGCCTTTCCCTTTGCAACT